GGCGCAAAGTGCGCCTCGCTTACACACTACACACAAGATGCAGAGCAATACGCAAATATCTTTACATATGAAAAATATATAATATATATATATATATATATATATATATATATATATATATAATATAATAAGGATATATACAGGATATAAATATAAATTAATAAAATATTACAAAACATTAATTTCTAGCCTACATGAAGATTTAAAAACCACTGCCTTACTTTCTTCATCTCGGGAGGCTTTTTCAGTTCATTCAATTTGCTTTTGTATAATGTTATTATTATTAGCAGTATTATTTATTATATCCATATTTATATTTCTTTTTATTAAAAACAAGCTTAGATTTGTCCACCTGTCAAATTTTAGACCATATGGGGCATGGCAGGTGTATTTGGAAATAACTCAGTATTTTGAGCACACTTCGTTATTATTGTTAATTTATTCATTTGCTGGAAATTAGAACTGAATTTAGGAATAGTTTTGCAACGAATATTTGCGCTTAACAAATGAAATTAATTATTTATAGGCTAATTGATGTCTGTGCGTAAAGGTTTCCTTGCGCCATGGCGCAAAGTGGATTTTCCCGTCCTTAAATTAGCAAAAATGCGTTCTGACACGCCCTGAAAGCGTTTGCGCCCTGCGTTTTGCGCTCTGCGCATGGACCGTCAAAATAGAGCCCTGAGGCTTTAAGTCTTTTTTGCCGTCAATATATGTAAATCCATACTTTACATATTCAGGGTCGTACTTGCGCTTTAACATATTTGTTGCTATAATTAAAATGAAATTAATGAAGTTTCACATGTCAAGCGGTAGGGTTGTCGTGCATGCATTTCAAAATAAAAGTCTAAAATAAGTTTTAAATTAAACTTTTGTTGTTTTTTTGACCACATCCACTAAAATGTTCCCGTGACCAGTTGATAAACACTGGTTTTTACCATAAAAACAGTGTATTATATGGCCCTACACCACCTAACCCTCACAGGAAGATTGTTGAAAAACTTTTCAACCCTATTAAGTATGATTTTAAACCATAAAATGTCCTCATAAACCACCTTAACAGTGTAATACCTTGGTCTTACCCATATTGATATACAAATGTGTGTCCTCATAAATCACATAAACAAGCACACACACACATACACCCTCTGTGAGTGTCTGCAGTTCATCAAAAGTATCTGTGTGTTTCCAGGTTCTGTGCCTGGCTGAGCAGATTGAGTTCACAGCTGCTGTGGAGATCAGCATCCGGCAGCAGAGCCTCCATCAGCTGGAGCAGCAGCTCACGGCCAAACTGGAGAACTACACCAGTGTGGACACCAGCACTGACAACACCACAGGTAACCTCAGTGTACAATGTGCATTTTTTTTTATTCGATGTTTGACATAATCACAACCAAAACATGAAGAGAGGGCGGGGCATGGAGTAGCCCCTCCCCTTTTAATTGTGTTTTGTTTTATCACAGCTCTGCCAGTGAAAGTAGTTAAGCTCAAGCACATTAAATGAAGAGCAAATGAGAAGAAGGGAGCAGGGCATGTCACATACTAGATAGAGAGCATTTGATTGGTTAAAAGATTTAATGAGAAACTGAAGTATAAGGTGACATTTTAGATTAGATTAGATTAGATTTAACTTTATTGTCATTACACATGTACAAGTACAATGCAACGAAATGCAGTGCAACGAAATGCATGAAAAAAGACGTTGATCCATTTAGGGGGAAATGCGAAAATGCAAGCTTTACATGTTTAAATCAGTTTTGTATCTCATAAACAAAATGTTGTCAGTGTTTTGGAGCAAACTAGCTTATAGATATACTAACTTAGTATAGACTAAAACTAACATCTAAAAGGTTTTATTTTAATTTCAGGGTACCTTTAATATTGTTGTTTTTCTTCATAGTCTGAATGAGTAATTCAGTAATTACATAATTGTAATTACAATTTAATTGTAATTGTACAATTATATTACAATTTAATATAATTGTAATTACATTTCTAGTATTTTTACAATTGTTTTGTTTATATTTTTATATTTGGACTTGTATAGTAGTGCATTCTCTTTTTCAGTTTTAGTTTTCTTTTTAATATCTGTACGTCATTTTTGTGCTTTAAAATATTGCTGGCCTCATTTTATCTATGTAGTTATATATGATTGCATGTCAATTTTATTTCAGTTGACAAAAATCTTTATAATATGTTTTAGTTAATAACAAGAACAACAACAACAACCTATAATGTGTTTTAGAATTCAGTTTAGAGTTGTAGATTATATTTTGCATTAAGGAAAATAAGCCATTAATATAGAGTCAACCTAGGGCCATATATACTTGCAAAATAAACGAAATTTTGCAAAAAAAAGTATTGGGCAAAAATTAATTAGTTAATTATATAACAAATAATTTTGCTAGCAAAAATAAAGAACTGCAAAGGCAAAATTAAGTTTTGAGAAATACAAATGAAATTTGCAAACAAAAAAAGAACTGTAAATAAAATTTAAGCAGTGCAAAAAAAACTTAATTATTTGCAATAAAATAAAAGCTATATATATTTGCAAAACGTTTTTTTTTGTTTACAAAACCAAATGTTACAAGGGAACTTGGGCATTTACGGCAGGCCCAGACCTACTGGGCTGTAAGACCACCTTGGTGATACTGTGTGTTCAGGTGATGACGTCGCTTAGGGCCTACTCACACTGTGCTATTCGAACCGTGCCCAGGCCCATATCCCGGATTGTTTAAGATGTGTGAGTGTTCTGAATCGGGCTCAGGCACGGTTCACTTGGGCTTTGGCGTGGCACGCTTTTGTGTGAGTGTGAAGCGCGCCTGAGCTCAAAACTGAAGACAAGATGTGACCTTTAAGGGACTGTTTCATATGGATTTATTAATCATTCTTACTGTTTAATAAACGCAAACTATTCCAAAATATGTTTTTTTTGCAGCGAATTTCCTTATAGCTGCAACCCAGTACTGGGAAACACCCATAACCACTCATTTACACACACACACACACTCGTACACTACAGCTCATTTAGTTAATTTCCCAATAGCACATGTGTTTGGACTGTGGGGGAAACCAGAGCACCCGGAGGAAACCCACACCAACACGGGGAGAACATGCAAACTCCATTTAGAAATGCCAACTGGTCCGGTCGGGACTCGAACCAGCGACCTTCTTGCTGTGAGGCCACAGTGCTAACCACTAAGCCACTATACCACCTCCATTTAAAGTTATGAGTGATTCCTTTAATTTATTTCTTTGTTTGCTTTTCATGAGATTGAAAAGTATTTTTATCTGAACTTTCCATATAATTATATACATTAAAGTATACTTGACTTTAATGATGTCCTCATTTTGATATAAAGTTGATGTGTGTGTGCGAGTCTATTGACACAGTGTGTTATTTAACACATTCAGTGTGTCTTTTAGCCTGCTAGTGAATCTGAATAAAGCTTTTAAGTCTTTAACTGTATATTTATAGCGTTTGCTAATCGTCAGGTTAATCAAATGAATAAAGCGATGCGAGCGTCCATAAAGCTCTCTTTATGAGCTCAGGGCTTTATTCACCGCAGCTCCAGTGAGATTCACTATAAACTGAAGTAAATGGAGCCTCTGATGAGTCACACTGTTAACTCTGATTATGGCTAATTCTGTGTGTAAGGGGAAAAACTGCTGCTGCTGCCTTCAGACATCCATTAGAATCACTTCCAGGAGATTGATTACAGTATATACTAATGCTGTGCAATTAATCCAAATTCAATTTGGATTGTGGCCTATTATGTAAAATCCATAATTGTGATAAGCTGATTATTGTGTCATATCCTGCTCTCTTTCTAGTAGTCCGCATTTGTTATTCTGCAAAGCCCAATTTCATGTGGATATATCAAGTGTGCCGCAAGCCTGCGTTTGAGTGAAGGTCTCGGCCGTTAGATCGCCCCCTGGGGGCTGGCTGCAGTACAAGTCATAAAGCCCGCCTCCTCCTTGTTAATGAAGGAGACTTGAGCCCAAATAAAAAAAATTATTACACTTGCAATAAAATGTCCCGAAAGATGGTTCTGGTCGATTAAGGCACTGGTTATTGTGCTGAAATAGGTGCAGATCTTCATTTTTGTAAACAGTTTGTTTTTAGCAGTAATTTAATGCTGGGCGTGTCATCGTGATTGACAGCTGTGATTGACAGTTTCTCAAAGCAGCGCGTCTGAGCTTCGGCAGGAGACTGAAGTGTTATTATTCGATTTCTGTGTTATTTTACTATGATAAAATGAGTTCAGCAGTAAACTATAGTTTCTGACATACATGATCCTGGTGGAACACTGTTTATTCGCTAAGGTCAGGGCTTTTTTCGGGCTTTATTAGTTTGCTGATACACGCCTAACCACCCAGATAGCAAAATACACTCGGGCCAGTTCCAGCTAAAAGTTAGATTCTCGCCTGCCGGAGACTTACCCCTCAGACTGACTACCTCTGCTGGACCTACTCCGGATGCCTGGACTCACTGCCCGATTCCAGGCCGAGTCAATCGAGCCAGATGCGGCGGCCGAGCGAGCCGGCGCTGCCGCATGCGAGTCGGAATCAGCCCGCGACGCCGCGAGTAGGTTATGCGATGCGACCCGGAGCTGGCGCGATTGAATATATAAAACCCTCATATTTGTTAACGTTATTACATCCATTTGTGTTGATATGACAGCAAACGCATGCTGAGAAGTTCGGGGGGCGTGGTTGATTTTACATAAAGCGTTTGGTTGGAAGCTCGACTCGGCTCATTTTCGCGGCTCCTCCTCTGGCTCCATCAGACAATCCTTCTGCGCATGTCAAGGCTCCAATTTCAGCAGTCTTTTGCGACAGTTTGTGCCCGTCAAGCAGGCGTTTTGCCCTCAAGGCGTTCAGTGGGAAAAGCGGCTGTCGCGTCGTCCATATTTTTTACAGTCATTGGGATATATCAGTAAATTCATGTGTTTTTAATAGAGTGAAAGTCAGAATTATTAGCTCTCCTGAATTATTAGCCCTCCTGTATATTTATTTCCACTAGTATATTTTTTTAAGATACTAGTATTTAGCTTAAAGTGACATTTAAAGGCTTAACTAGGTTAATTAGGCAAGTCATCATTGGTTTATTCTGTAGACCAAAGTTGGGGTCGCGAGACAATGGGGGGTGGGGTGGGGGGGTCGCTTGGTGATTTTCCAAAATCTCATGAATGTTATTAAACTATTAGAATTACCATATTTTATCCATAACCTACAGAAGATGAAAATAGTAGTGAACAGTTGCATAAAAATACAACATGCAAATAAAACGCCATCAGCCTTTAATTTTTTTAACATTGGATTGCAACCCCTGGAGTTATCACGCTAGATTAGTGACAGAGCAATAGTGTTAGTTGCAGCAGATTGATTTTACGGCAGAATGTTAAACATTGACACCTTTACGGCACCACCCGCTTTGAATGTTATCACTCCATTAAATGGGCGTTATCAATAGCTATGTTTCCATCCAAAAATGCGAATGAACTTTATGCGCAAAACTGGATTATCGCTAAAAAGACGTGCGAAAAAAGCAGTGTTTCCATCCAACAGTCAAAGCGAAAAAAATCATCACTTTGTGATTAACTTTCGGCAAATATCAACAGTAAAAACTGAATTTGCTGCAGTAGGAGAAGCTGCGTCAATCTTTTCTTTATGTAATAAATGACTTGCGCCTCAGAAGCCAATCCTGACACGCAGTGAACGCGCGGTCGCGTCTGACGGAGCACAGATGCTTTTGATTCTGGAGGTCATTAATAATATAATAACACCAATACTTAAACGGTAATGCTTTTTCTTAAACTCTACTATTTTTTATATATATATATATTTTATATTAATGTTAAGCACCTGGGGTCTGAGAGTAACGCAATTTCGATTCTCTGTATGTCTTGTACATGTGGCTGAATTGACAATAAAGCTGACTTTGACTTTGACTTTATAATGACCAAAACAACAGTTCAGATGTTTTACAATGTGCTCAGCCTGCTGGTTTATCCATTCACACTAATTTTTATCATCACATGATCTCTTCTAACAAAATCACATGACCGTTTTTATTACACATGCTGGAGTTTGTGCGGTAAAAGTGTTTTCATTGTAGTTTATATGCATCTTTTCTTATCGAATAAAAAGTTTCTCCTACTTAGTTATGTGCTTATGTTTTTTGCGCATCTTGGCGTTTCCATCAACCGTTTTTTAATGCGCATATCCAAAATGTGCATAAAAATAGGTGGATGGAAACATAGCTAATGATTATCAGCTGATAAATATGGGCCAGTAGGCCACTTATCATCCATTTACATGGTTAATCAGCTATACTAAGGCCCCGTTTACAATAATGCGTTTTCGTTTTAAAATGCATACGTTTTTCTATGGTTACACCATCCGTCCACACCGGCGGAGTTTTCAAACGCTGAAAACGAAGCGTTTTAAAAACACTGAAGAGGTCGTTTTCATTCTAAAACGCTGCTGCACCGTCTCAGTGTGGATGGGGGAAAACAGAGACATCTGAAAATGGAGGCAGGGCTGCAGACAATTACCTCTATTATTGGGGTTTTTACTCAATATTTAGTAGCCTACACACACAGTCCTGCATCCTCTCCTTGTAAGTTCAGACTTCGCAAAACGAGGACATCAAAATATGACCCTTTTTCATGTATAATATGGGCTCTTTAAATTAAATAAATGATTAATGAATATAAAAAATCATATGATTGTTAGATTGTCAATATGCTTAAATAGTTCCTATTGGTGTGTGTGCACCGTTGTGTGCAATATTTATATGTTTAGAACCACCTCCGAGGATATTGTGGGTCGCGAGTCACTGGAATTATTATTTTGAGGTTCAAGGGCTGAAAAATGTGGAAACCACTGCTGTAGACAATCCAAAGCAAATATTGCTTAAAGGGGCTAATATTATTGACCTTAAAATGGTTTAAAAAAAATGAAATCTCCTTTTATTCTAGCTGAAATAAAACAAATAAAGCTTTCTACAAAAGAGAAAAATATTATAGGAAATCTGTGGAAAAAAATTGCTCTGTTAAACATAAAGAATAAAAAATCACAGGAGGGTGAAAAATACTTATGACTTCAACTGTATTCTGAGAAAATGACAGTGTTTTCTGATCATAGATTCATCTAGACCTGTTCCAACACAATATTAGGCCACTTTTAAAACATCACGTGACCTGCTCTTTATAATGAGTGATGATGCCCTGGTGCTGCTGGTTTTGTTTTGCAGAGTCGCGTGTTCTGCAGATGAAACTGAAGGCTCTGATTCTGGATGTGATCCACAACATCTCATTGGTGCAGAGTCTGAGAGAAGCCCAGATTAACAGCACCGACGACTGGGTGTGGAAGAAGCAGCTGCGCTTTTACCTGAATGCAGACCAGAGCTGCTCCATACAGATGGTGGACGCAGATTTCAGATACACATATGAGTACCAGGTGAGGGTCATGTGATCAGATCAGTGTTTAGGTCATGAAGTACACTCTTAATGCAGCACAAATGATCAAAGCTGAACTACGAATGCTGAATATGCAAATAAGACTGAATGTTTACATAGTGGAAAATGACCATCGTCGTGAACATGAGCATAATTGATCATCTCATCTACTTTGGGTGTAGTAGAAATAGTATTTTTAGCATGGATACTATAAAACAATTGTTGTTGGCACTTTTTATTCACCATCACAGCACACGTAGCACAACTTTTTAAAATTTGCAGTCAGTTGTAAAGTGGACCTATTATGTCCCTTTTTACGAGATGTAGAGTAAGTCTCTGATGTCCCTAGAGTGTAAATCTGAAGTTTGAGAAATAGCACACAAATAGTGTTTTATAACTCTGAAACTGACCCTTTTAGGCTTTTATCCTAATTGTGGCGTTTTGGTGACTGTTGCTTTAAATGCAAATGAGATTGTGCTCTTTTCAAAAGAGGGCGGAGCTACTAATGTCTATATATCAGCATAGTGGCAGATTCAGACACAAGACTAACGTCCTATACTAATGAGAGAAAGATGGTCACTAGGGGGCGGGGCTTTCCCCCCTGATGACTCATACAAAGGGAAAACGTCAATCAAAGTGGTAATAAGTAATAATAAACATTATATTTAAAATAGGGATGCTCAAAATAATCGATTTACCGTTAACCAAAAGGGTGCGTTTGTAACCGATTAATGCTATCAGTTAAACGATTAAAAATATTATTTTATATATTTTTAGTTTGGCTGCATAAGGGGCCGATTGAATGCGCCTTTGCGTTAAGAGGGGCATCTTTTGCACGCGGCTCATCCCAGAGCAGCAGTTTGTGTTTTCAAGACAACTACAGAGAACTTTTAAAGAGCATGGTTTCCGCTACATTCATTCTTCCTTGTGGGGACCAAAATGCATCCCTCCACGGCTACATTACCCATTCAAAACATTCAGTTATTATTGTTGTTTTTAATAGCGGGTTATAATCGCACCAAGACGTATTAAAAGGTAAGTGGATTATAACAGCGCAAACTTTTCTGTAACCGTATAGTGCTGTGCGCTGTCTGTTTAACCCTTTGGCGTTACGTGCTGACTGACTGACTGACTGACAGGTGCGCGATGCGTGGGGCCAGCAAACACGACGAAGCTTTCAGTTAAGATGAACACAGTTTCTATAGTTATACTTTATTTATAAATAAAGGTATATGGCTCTGCATATAATCACTCTATCTTGCTGGAGTTTATAGCCGTTTCGCTTTACTTCGAGATGCTACACCGCTCTGATGGTCTAATCGCTGTTTTAAGTTATCCAAGCTGTATGAATGTACAAATCTTGATTATCACAATATTATTAAATATTACAACTGTAACAACACAGACAGCAACACTTTTGCACAATCGATACCCAGCTGATTCAGTCGTTTCATAAGAGGACCGGCCGCGCTTCTTCTCTTCTTTTTTCCTTGTCAACATAAAGGCAGTGAGATGCGCCTTGTTTTGGGCCCCTTGTTCAACTGCAAGACATATTTAACTTGCGGGACGATAACGTATAACCCGTGCCTACAGACAGATTTGCCAAAGAAGCAAAATGGAAGAAGAATATTGCTGTTTGATACAGACGTGTTGATACCAAACCAGCGCTTATGTTGACCTGGATCTGCGTCATAAACACAACAAATAGGCTTTACCTTTTATTTTACAGCTTATAAAGCATGTATGCACATTAATGCAATATCATATTTAAACAACAAAACTGTTTACAAAAAGTCAACATATGCACGCGTGTTGTTGTCTTTTCATCACGCAGTGCGCACTTAAACCGTAAGGGACAGAGAGGAAACCACATGTCAAGACATAATCTTTAAAATAATGATTTCTATTAAAATGTAAAAAGGTTTTGTGATTATAATAATAACAGCGGGGCGTTAAATAAATGCATATTTTCCGTGGAGCGAGCGATTTGAGGAAGTCTGCGATTTTTATTTGACGGAAGAAAAAACATATGATTGGGAAAAAAAAACAGCCTATGCCGGTTATTAAAAAGAATCAGTCAGTATTTTCGTTTTGTAATAAAAATGAATTATTTAAGTGTAAATAATTTAGGGCAGTCCTGTTTACTTTATTCATTTTATTTAGTTTATTCTGTTCTTCTGTGCTAAACACTGCAGGTGCGTGAAGATGCTCTTTCGTATTGTTCTATTATTTATATGCTAGCATATAAAAATAAATGAGTATTTTAAAATGCAATATTTAATGTGTCAGACACAAAATAGACACGTCAATTTGTTTAATATAAAATTAATAGTAATCTGACCACTTAACCGTTAATAACCGATTAATGAGCGGCGGTTGTCGGTTAGCAAAATTAACCGAAATGAGCATCCCTACTTTAAAGCAATTATTGTATAACCATCTCTCTTTCTCTCTCTCCCAGGGTAATGCTGCAAAACTGGTCCACACGCCGCTGACGGATAAGTGCTATCTCACCCTAACACAGGCCATGAAGATGGGTTTGGGTGGAAATCCTTACGGACCTGCAGGAACTGGAAAAACAGAGTCGGTCAAAGCCCTGGGAGGATTGTTCGGAAGACAAGTGCTGGTCTTTAACTGTGATGAGGTACAAACACACTTTTACACACAAACATTTTCATTGGAAATCATCAGCTGCTAGGGTTTACGCGGGTCCTTGAAAAGTATATGTTTTGTTTGTGCTAAAATTGGTAAATAAATACAAAATAAAAGTAAAAGTAAAAAAAAATAAAAATAAAAATCTGTATAGTATTGCTTTGGATTTTAACAGTCCTTCAAACATTTGGGATAATGTAAGTAAATAAGTAAGCAAAATTTATAACACTGTTCTAGTGGTTTTGGGATATTTTGAAGACAAATAATCTGACATATTGTGCCTTTAAGCTCTATGCTATTATCAGTAACAAATGTATTGTTTTAAGTTAATCAAACATTTTCACAGTAGTCAGACAGGTTTAATACCCTTATGATCCAGAAGCTATGACTGTTTTTGTTTGTCATATTGTGACAGTTCCTAGAGAAACGAATTATTAAATGAGAACTGGGCGTGGCTTGTTTTTTCTACTGCGAGCTGATTGGATGCATCAAAGTAGGCATTTCTTTCAGAACGATCTGGAAAAGTACCACCTCAAAAAAAATGGTCTCTCCAAGTACCAGCATAATAAGCAGTATTGAAATACAGTAGCGTAGTAGGCCCAGTAAAGCAGCTACAACTTTGTACAGTTCAAAAAACAAGGCAGATTAATTCCTATTAATAAGAATATTATTGTCAGCCACTTTAAACATTATACATAGTTTGAACATTAACCCTGCACTGTGCTTACAATTAAAAAAAACAACAAAAAAATGCAAAAAATGTTAACATTTAAATTAAAATGTGCTTTTAAAATTTAAAATTGATAGATTACTTATCTTAAAAAGTAAAAAAAAAAAATGCCTGTACTCCTGTAAAGTATTAAGATAGTAGCCTATTTATCATAACCTAGAAATATAGGCTATATGTCATCATATTCATGTATAATTTTTTTTTGATACATTTTAAAATATATATAGCATGTGCATATGACATATTTGATTCATCCGCATACCACTAGAAGGAAGCCCGCATACCACTAGTGGTACACGTACCACAGTTTGAGAACTACTGTTTTAGATTACAGGAGCAATCAATTCGTTTTTTCTTAATGACATACACAGATGAATTGTTCAGCACAAAAGTAGGGATTTGAGTTAACAAAATCAATATTGTTAGTTTTGATTTGATGTGTACTTTAATCTCTGTGTTTCAGGGTATAGATGTGAAGTCCATGGGCCGGATCTTCGTGGGTCTGGTGAAGTGTGGAGCGTGGGGCTGTTTTGATGAGTTTAATCGTCTAGAAGAGGCTGTTCTCTCCGCTGTCTCCATGCAGATTCAGGACATCCAGAACTCACTGAAGAACCATCGCTCCACCTGCCAGCTTCTCAATAAAGAGGTGATGTTCACACACACACCTTACAAAGTCCATGTGAAGTCAAAATGGAATATTTTGCCACATTGTTATTCTCCAATTAATCCACTGCAAAAATGTTGTTTTGAATCAGAGTCTGAGCATTTACTTCTGTGTTTGGAATGATGGTCCTTTTGTTAATGTCAGTTTGACAGCTTGAGACACAATTTGTTTTTTAATGAGTGAAAAGAACGTAAATGTTTGTTAATGACAGACATAGTGAAAGACTTTTTCCTTTTAAACTTTTTTAAGAAGACAAAATAATAAAATTATAAAAATTATTTTAAAAATCTAGGCGACGCGGTGGCACAGTAGGTAGTGCTGTCGCCTCACAGTAAGAAGGTCGCTGGTTCGAGCCTCTACTGGGTCAGTTGGGGTTTCTGTGTGGAGTTTGCATGTTCTCCCTCCATTCGCGTGGGCTTTCTGTAGGTGCTCCGATTTCCCCTACAGCTCAAAGACATGCAGTACAGGTGAATTGGGTAGGCTAAATTGTCCGTAGTGTATACGTGTAAATGAGAGTGTGTGGATGTTTCCCAGAGATGGGTTGCGGCTGGAAGGGCATCCGCTGCGCAAAAATGTGCTGGATAAGTTGGCGGTTCATTCCTTTGTGGCGACCCCGGATTAATAAAGGGACTAAGCCGACAAGAAAATGAATGAATGAATAAAAAAATCTATAATAATAATAAGTAGCATAATTTCATAATAATAATAATAATAATATTAATATCAATAGTAAATAAATATGAGTAAATAAAAAATATGTTACAAATAATAATAATACTAAAAATAAACAGAAGGAGGTTGGAGGAGGTGATGTCAATGATTTAAATCATTCAATCAGAGGAAAACCTTAAAAGTGAGTGAAAATAAGTTATGAACGATTGCCAGTTTTCATAATGCTGCGTTCACACTAGACGCAGGACGCGCATCAAGCGCGAGTGATTTACATGTTAAGTCTATGCAAACGTGCGAATAGATATCCTGCGGTGCGATACGTGCGGAATGACGCAAATTGCGCGAATGGCGCGGGGCGAATTGAGCGTTTTGCGCGTTTGACGCGCTTAACGAGTGTTTCGCACGAATCTCTCGATTTCGAAAATCTGAACTTCAGCGTTCATTCGCGCCGCGTTAAAATCAGAAGCTTGCTCTTGTGGGGGCGTGATTGTGACGTAGAACGTGATTGTGTCGGTGTTTCGAGGGAAATCCTCCAGCCTTCACAGACAACAGTTCATCAAACTCGGCTTGGCTCAGTCAGAAACACCGCTGAAAGCCTCCCTCATCCAGGTTAAGTTTCTGGAGGAGTTTATGAGCTCACAGAGCTGGATGCACCTCTGAAAGCATGTAGTGGACTCAGACACGACCCTAAACGTATCGACGCTGTTTTTCCGTCTTCATAAAGCACATAAACACTGTTATTTTCTTCATAAAATCCATGTTAGCCATTTAGCTATAAAGCTAGAGTCTTCGGGCAGACAGAAGCCCTGCCCATCACGCGAATCTGCGTCTGTTCTGATGTGAATTTGACACGCAAATGAAGCTGGGTTTGACGCGCGAATGAAGCAAGTAAACTCAAATGTTCTCACGGCTATTTACGTGCGAATAGTGAGATTTATCCGCGCGTTCCGCGTCTAGTGTGAACACAGTATAAGAAGAGCCGTAACTGGCATAGCAAGAACATCTGATCTTTTCTACTTTCAAAAGGTTCATGGTGTCCCCAAGCCACTGTGAAAAACCTGCTGGTTTTGTAGACTTTCAGAGAAATAAGATCTGTCATCTAGCCAAGAAACACAATATTTTCAAACACGCCCCTCTTACCGTTAGTTTGCTATTAGGTTAGGATGCACTAAAAGAAAAGCCCCGCCCCTTAATCAATATTCCATTTTAGCTTAAACGTACAACTATAAATAATAGCTATAGACCATTTTAATGTGGTGATGTCATTGGCCCATGAACATTTCCTGTTTGTTCTCAAATTATTTCATAGCTGTAACAAGAGGCAATTCAATCATAACTTCATGTTGAAACAGCTATCATAACATTATTTATCAATATGTGGCTCTTTATGAATTCTCGAAAGCTATAGAAATTAAACTTGTAAAACAGGGAATACATTAGGACCATTGTTTTTGTTTACATCCATCAAAATGGTTTATAAATAATGAAAGTCTCAGAAACTTTCAGTTCACGCTTACTTAAAGAGAGATTTTGCCTCCTTCTTCAAGCTCTTCACTTAGGGCACCCACCAAGACATTTCTTAGTCTTTGGGCATGAGCCGGCCAGCGGCACCCCTGCCCTGGGTACAGAGGGTCAAAGTGTCTGTGTGTGTTTGCAGGTGGATTTGGACCCAAACTCGGGCATCTTCATCACAATGAATCCAGCGGGAAAAGGATACGGAGGAAGGCAGAAGTTGCCGGATAATCTGAAGCAGCTCTTCCGACCGGTTGCCATGACGAGTCCTGATAATGAGCTCATCGCTGAGGTCATCCTGTATTCTGAGGGATTTAAGGAAGGAAAGGCACTGGGGCGGAAACTTGTGGCTATATTCAATTTGGCCAGGTATATACAAATTCAACATATAATAATAATGTTGTATTATTTAACACATAAAATGGTTTATAGAATGGACCCTAGGAAAAATAGCCACTACCTTGGTAGTGGCTGATGAGGATCCTGATAAATAAATAGCATATTTTAATAATGTGAACTGCTTTCACACTGCTATTATTTACAAGAATATAATTATAAAATTGTCATTAATTATACTTTTTATGATTTTTTTTATGTTTAAAAAATGTAAAGGTGGATAACATTGATGATAATCAGAAATATTTATTGATCATCAAATCATCATAATAGAATATATACACTACCTGACAAAAGTCTTGTCGTGGATTCCAGTTGTAAGAGCAACACATTATAACTTGACTTCTAGTTGATCATTTGTAAAAGTGTCAGAAGGTGGATTTTTCTGCTGAATCATCTGTTGATCTGCATCCCAATCATCACCAATACTGCAGAAGACCTACTGGAACTCGCATGGAGCCAAGATTCTCAGAGAAATCAGTCAAGTTTGGTGAAGGAGAAATCATGGTTTGGGGTTGCATTCAGTATGGGGGTGTGCGAGAGATCTGCAACATCAACAGCCTGAGGTATCAAGACATTTGTGCTGCCCATTACATTACAAACCACAGGAGAGGGACAATTCTCCAGCAGGATAGCGCTCCTCATACTTCAGCCTCCACATCAAAGCTCCTGAAAGCAGAGAAGGTCAAGCTGCTCCAGGATTGGCCAGCCCAGTTATCAGACATAAACATTATTGAGCATGTTTGGGGTAAGATGAAGGAGGAGGCACTGAAGATGAATTCAAAGAGTCTTGATGAACTCTGGGAGTCCTGCAGGAACGCTTTCTCTGCCGTTCCAGATGACTTTATTAATCAGTGATTTGAGTCAGTGCAGAGATGTATGGATGCAGTCCTCCAAGCTCATGATGGAGTCAGACACAATATTCATTCTGTCTCCACTGCAGCAGGACTTTATATTCTATACTGGACATTATTTCTGTTCAGTGATGAGACTTTAGTCTAAGCAGAGTCAGACCTTACTGTCCTAATCAAATCATTAATAATCAAGGCATGATCAGATTTTATTGTGCTCAAATAAGCGTAATCTAGAGGCCTTTACCTTTCATATGAGCTACTTCTGATACCAAATGATCAACTAGAAGTCAACTTATTATTTGCTTTTCCTAAAACTTGTGACAACACTTTTGTCAGGTAGTGTAGATCATGTGACTGAGAACTGGAGTAAAGATTCTGAAAGTTACGCCCCATTCACACGGGGCTTCAGCGTCAACGCTTGACAGAGGGCGTGTTTGAAGTTGGGGCTGACACGATCGTCATAGCAGCGTCAGCCAATGAAACTAGTCAGCAATAGGCCACTGTCTGAGCTGGAGTATTTGCATACAGGGATCTGATTGGAACCACGCCTCACTTTGTCTCCTTAACCAATCACCTACTCCCTAAAACTTATTTAAGGCAGACCAGCCTTCTAGCACTGTTCTTCTCTTTCTCCCTCTATGTCCTCGTCTCCTATTCGCAATCCTATAACCTTCTCTTCACTCCTAGGTTGCATCGGAGGGTTCAATCACTCTACCAAAATATTAGCAGGGTTCAAAGCTAAGGATTTTTTCTACTGGTCCGATTGGGCCAGTGGTTCAGATTTTTACTTGCCCTACCAAATTTTCACTGGTCCCACCAAAAAAAAGGGAAGTTAATAGCTATTTTTTGCCACATATTTTAAAAAATGTGTCAAAAATAAAGTCTGTAAATCTAGAATTTCAACACTTAAAAACATGTTCATAAAAGTGTTTTCCAAACAAAAAGAGCAGGGGAAAATGTGGAGGTATTTTATTGTCGTTCGAAATTATTTAACAAAAGGTGGCCTACTTGTCAAACTGATGGCAAACCGTGCAAAACATCACTTTTTTCATTTTTTTTTATCACTTTTGTTTGTCGCATTGTTCACACGTAAATGTCTGCTTCCAAGACGTTAGAAACAGACATTTTCTTTTAGCCTTATAATTTGATCTTGCCGCCATGTTGCCGTTTCTTCGCTGTACTGGCTGTCATCAGGTTACGGGAAAAAATTGCATGCTCAAAACATCAAATCAGACAAGAGGAACCAAAAAGCAATATGGTGTTTACGACATCACAGAGAAGGTAGTGTTTAAAGACTAAACTTAAAATGCACGCAATTGACAAATAGTCGCAGACCAATTAAATGTTAGTGACAAGGCAGCACTGTCCCAATCGGGCCAGTAATTATCCTGTCTACTGTCCCAAGCGTCTCTCATGGTGGCCCTGGGCCACCGGGCAGTCCTTATTGTTTAGCCCTGATTAGTCTCTGGGCATCATCGTAGCACTTAATCAGCCTACCTACTTGTTTACTGTTTGTCCTCTTACTTCCCTTCCTCTTCATCCCACTGTTCTCTTACCATCCCCTTCATCCCTACAATAAAGTCTAGCTCAAAGTGTGGCGTGGTCCATGCTTGTGAACAGTAAAATGAAACAGAAAACTTATTTTAAATTGGAATAATATTGCACACTATTACTATATTTGCTTATTATTACTGTATTAGCATAAGACAGGTTTAATATTTAATGCTCATCCACAGAACTAAGACGTTAATACTGACCCTGTGTATGTTTGTGTATGATTTCTGTGTGAATGTGTATGTGCGTGCATGTGTGCGCAGGGAGCTGTTAACCCCTCAGCAGCACTATGACTGGGGTTTGCGTGCACTGAAGACAGTTCTCAGAGGCTGTGGGAGTTTACTGCAGTTACAGAGACTGAACAACAACCCCTGTAAGACACTCTCACTCCAACCAATAATCCATAAAGCATCCCAGATCTGTTCACATCTGTAGCCTTTGTTTGTGTGTGTGTGTCTGTAGTAAAGGAGAGTGGATTGGTGGTTCAGGCTTTGAGGTTGAACACCATGTCGAAGCTGACGTTTGCTGACAGCTCTCGGTTTGATGCTCTGGTCAGAGACGTGTTTCCTGGAGTCGACTTTAAGGATGTGGAGTACGAGACGCTTAAGTCTGCACTGCTGGCTGTGTATGAAGAAGCACATCTGGAGATTATACCCAGTCAGGTATCTGATTATAGACATGGAACACTAATCCCTAATCACAGAATCCCTCCCTCTTTATATTCAATGTTTTTTTTTTATTAATTATCCAAAAATATTCAGTTGAGCAACAGATTATTCATTCTTTTTTTTTTTTTTAACAATAAATTTCAGGGCCTGTAAATTATTATTTTATTTTTATAAACATTTTTCATTAGCTAAAATGTTTACTGTATTAACTTATTAAGGTTTTTTGAAGGCCTGTTCATATTTTATTAGTTATAAAATCTCTTTTTTCTCATTTAATTAAATAATAAAAATAAATAAATGAAAAATTCAGGGCAGTGTATAATTTTATTTGAAATGTTTGTAAGTTTTACATTAGCAAAAATTAAACTTCAACTTGGTATTAATGTACTGTAATAACCTATTAAGGTTTTTTTGAAGACCTGTTCATATTTTAATATTTATAAAATCTCTTCTTTCTAATTTAATTAAATAATAATAACAACAAATTTTAAAATATAATTTTCAAGGCCGTGTATAATTTTGTTTAAATTGTTTGCAAGTTTTACATTAGTAAAAATTAAACTTCAACTTGGCATTAATGTACTGTATTAACTTTATTAAAGTTTTTTTGGAGGCCTGTTCATAGTTTAATATTTATAAAATCAGTTTTATCTCATTTAATTGAATAGTAATAATAATTATAAAACCACATTTATAAACAATTAAATTATTAATACTTTTTTTTTTTTAAATAAAATACTTTTTTGGAAAGTGAAATTTAATTTTTATTAAAAGTTTACCAAATAAGTACTTTTTTATAGTTATGTAAAATCAGTCGTATGCCCCCCAACCCCCTGAAATCTATTTTCTTAAAATATTTTTAATTACATTTAAATTTGAAATAATTAAAAAGCATGTCTAATCAAGATTTTTTGTTTTAATTTACAAATTCAGTGATTTATTACCACTTTTGCAATATTTAAGACTTCTTTTTCTCAGGAATTTGTTGCTGTCTGTGTTAATTTACTTTGATTTAAAATATAACAATAAAAAGCAGTGCCATTAAAAAAGGCATAAAATGATTAGACATCTATAAAGCGAGCGATTGCTTCATATTTTACAATTCTGTACAGAGAGGTCACCTTTTTGATGTTCTATTGGTCTCACACAATCATGAGATGCAATTTGGTAGGTGGAACAGTTGGACGCTGGACATGCAGATGGACGTGGATCCATGCTGGATTCACATGCAGATTTATCAGAGAATGATCAGGCAGGCAATAGTCAAACAGGGTAATCTAAAGCTTCCAGGTGTGTGTGTGTGTATGTGTGTAATCAGCGGGAATCAGGAGTTGGTGTGTCTGAGTTGCATGATGGGAGTTGTAGTTTATTAAAGTGGCATATGTATGCAGATTCATCAGGAAATGGTCTGGCAGACAATAGTCAAACAGGGTAATCAAAAGCTTCCAGGTGTGTGTGTGTGTATGTGTGTAATCAGGGGGAATCAGGAACTGGTGTGTCTGAGGTGCATGATGGGAGTTGTAGTTTATTAAAGTGGCATATGTATGCAGATTCATCAGAGAATCGTCTGGCAGACAATGGTCAAACAGGTTAATCAAAAGCTTCCAGGTGTGTGTGTGTGTATGTGTGTAATCAGGGGGAATCAGGAACTGGTGTGTCTGAGTTGCTTGATGGGAGTTGTAGTTTATCAAAGTGGCATATGTGTCGTTCTCCAGCGATCTGCATAGGCTAGATCGCTGGTGATCATGACAGCAGGTCAGAGTTCACCAAGCTTGACATTTGGAATGCTTCGACTTTGAAGCTTGCATTTCTGGTCTGCTGCGTTCATGCACTGAATGAAATTATTCATTGGAATTACAGTTTATTTTAAGGTAAGTGGAAGTGGTTGCAAACAATTTATATGGGCTGAATTCAAACAAAGAAATTAGGATGAACATTACTACATTTCATTTGTTTTTTTTTAATTCAGCCCATATAAATAGTTTGCAACCAATTAGCTTATAAAATTTAGTAAATCCAATTAATCATTTCATTCAGCGTATACATTTAGTATGAATAGAAGTCAATGGGGTGAAAAGTGCAGTGTGAACACAGCTTTACTGTGTGTGTGTGTGTGTGTGTGTGTGTGTGTGTGTGTGTGTGTGTGTGCGTGTGCGCGTGCAGCTGAAAAAGGCGGTGGAGTTGTACGAGCAGCTTCGCCAGAGGATGGGTGTGGTGGTAGTCGGGCCCAGCGGCGCAGGAAAGTCCACTCTCTGGCGGATGCTGAGGGCAGCGCTGGGAAAAACGGGGCGGCTGGTCAAACAGTACACCATGAACCCCAAAGCCATGCCACGCCAGCAGCTCCTGGGACACATCGACATGGACACACGAGAATGGTCTGACGGGGTCCTAACATCCTCCGCAAGACAGGTGGTGCGAGAGCCACAGGGTGAGGAGAAATAAACGAAGATGCTTTCAAAAATAATGCATATTCATCAATTAACTTATAATTACTTTATAAGTCAAATCAGCATTTGATATGAGCACACTTTGCATTTAAAGGTGCAGTATGTAAAGTTTGACACCTAGTGGTTGGACTAGGTATTGCACACCTGGTTTAAAACACACGTAAGCACAGGTTGCCAGATTGACGACATCAACAGAAGTGTGCCTGTGTGTTGAGCCTAAATAAAAGCAACGACACACGATAGATGGAATGTTTTTTTCCTATTTAAAGGAGGTTTTTGTCCTAACCAACACCTGAAATTTATATTTCAGAATAAAATATAAAATAGACGTTTTCATTTCTTGCAGCTTGACAACAGAAAAATGACAATGATGACCCCTGGTAGACCTCATGTGCTTTATTTAGTGTTAAATGCTAATAATGTGAGTTTAAATGCCATTTTACATGACATTTATTGCCGTACTACTGAAAGCAGAGGCAAATAGTTCACCTCAGATCTTAAAAATAAAATAAGCCGTCTGAAGTTGAACTTCAGAACTGTGACTCAATGAAAGTCAACACATATCAGTGTTTCAGCATCTACATTTATTAATGTTAAAGAGGTTTAATATGTATTATTCACATTATAAAGCTTGCCGTTTCGCTGGAGTGCAGTGAGTGCACTATTCTGTGCTTCTGAATGGCTGTGTTTACATTTCTTTTTTTTGTATTTACAACAGCCAAATTGCTCATCACTGCAAATCTGATCATGTAGCGTGTTGTTAGAACACTGGGTTACAATGTAACATGCTCAGCTAATGTTTACGCTCGTAATATTTATATTATTTGCTAATTAATAACCTCATGTGGAACTCTGAATCTGCGCCTCATTTCAGAGTCTGCTACTGTCCACCAGAGGTTGCATTTTCGTCATGGGGCACACTTTGAGAGCCTTCCTGAGTGAATAAATTAAATATGCTGTTTTCCTCCAAGGCAACCCGGGTGCTGAAATATAATTGGCTAAACTGGCAGTGGGCGGGTTAAATGATCAAAACAAAGACAGCTGTTCCAGCACGTAACTCAGATTTTCAAAGCAGAATATCTGACTTCAGCATTGCTTTTCAAATAAACAAGAATGTTCACTGAGCATGTTTCTGAAATATCTGCAAACATATTATGGTGTTTTTATGCTTTAGAAGAGTCAAAAAATCACTTGCAGCAGCTTTAAAACACTTGGTACACGTCCCCATAATTTTTCAGGAAGCTTTGCTGGTCGTTTTTTGAAGCATCAATGTTGCCAAAGTTGTTCTGGATATAGTTTGTCTCAGTTTGTTTGGTTTCTATATGTCATTCCAGACAGACTGGATGATATAGTATAGGCTCGGGCGGTATCCAAATTTTGATAAGTCAAACCTCCTCCCTATATTACCTCGGCATCCGGTTTACAATTTATTTTTAGCTTATTTTTATGACAGCAATCAACAAATCGGCTAATTTTCGACTGGTAGATAATGCTTATATCATCATGCTCATAAAGTAAACTTAGGGCTCTATCATACACCCGGCGCAGTGTGGCGCAAGGCGCGGCGCATTAGTCTTTTGGTAGTCGTTTTGAGGCGTTGCGCTACGCTGTTTAAATAGCAAATGCATTAGCGCTCATTTGTGCGCCCATAGGCGTTCTTGTTTAAAAAGGAAGGTGTTCTGAGGCGGACCGCTGGCGCGTTGCTATTTTGAGAAACTATAATAGATTTTTCAATAGACCAAAACTAACCCGGTCTAAACTCCAGCGCAGAGTTGCACCTCGCTTACACACTGCTTAATACGCACAAGAGAGCAATAGGCAAATATCTTTACATATGAAAAAATTTAAATATTAAGGATATATATAGGATATAATAAGAATAGATATAGAATATAAATATAAAGGATTAAAATATTACAAAAAATTATTTTCTAGCCTACATAAATATGAAAAATCACTGCTTTTATGTCTTCTTCATCTCGGGGGCTTTTTCAGTTCATTCATAACAATTTGCTTTTGTATAATGTTATTATTATTAGCAGTATTATTTATTATATCCATATTTATATTTGTTTTATTAAAAACAAGCTTAGATTTGCCCACCTGTCAGGTTTTAGACCATATGGGGCACAGCATGTGTTTTAGGATATAACTCAGGTTTTTGAGCACATTTTGTTATTATTGTTCATTTATTCGTTTGCTGGAAATTAGAACTGAATTTAGAAATAGTTTTGAAACGAATATTTACGCTTAACAAACAATATTAATTATTTATAGACTAATTGATGTCTGTGCGTAAAGGTTTCCCTATCCAAGAGCGAATGTGAAAGTAGATCCATTATCTCTCATTCTCACGCAGTAGATGCTCTGTTTAACTGTTTTCTGTGAACTGTTTGCTTGTGAAATGCTCATTTTTTCCACTTAGACTTACTTTACGTCCTGTAAATAGCGAATGTGCTCTTGGCGTGACGCAGCTGACTCTTAAAGGGAATGGGAGATGAGACTCTAATTGGTTTATTCTCAAAACACACCTATAACTCATAGTGAAAATAAACTCAACCCTTTTAGACCATGCGCCATGACGCAAAGCTGGTTTTCCCGTCCTTAAGTTAGCAAAAACGCGTTCTGACACGCCCTGAAAGCGTTTCCGCCATGCGTTTTGCGCTCTGCGCGTAGACCGTCAAAATAGAGCCCTTAGTATGGATGATCAGATCAGATCTCTGTGTGCAGACAATAATCTCACTGTAGAATTACAATTAATGATAGAAATAATGTTCTGAAATTTAAATTGATATTTCAAACTGCTAAAGAAAAATATAGAAATAATCCACTTTAAACCATGGTGAAAATACTAGTGGCTTAAGACTTTTGCACAGTACTGTATACTTTGCCACACTTGTGCTGGAAAATAGGAAAAGGTGTAAGAACTCTGATTCATACAGTATTCAGAGCACTGTCAGAGCAGTCTAATTACATAGATTCTACATATGCACGCGAGTCTGCATCACTTTTATATTGCTTCACATACATTGCAATCAAAGAGTCTGCTCCTTCTCTTTCAGAGGTGAACTCATGGATTATATGTGATGGAGACATTGATCCTGAGTGGATCGAGTCCTTAAACTCTGTCCTGGATGATAACCGCTTACTGACCATGCCCAGCGGTGAGAGGATTCAGTTCGGCCCCAACGTCAACTTCCTGTTCGAGACCCACGATCTGAGCTGCGCTTCACCAGCCACCATCTCCCGCATGGGCATGATCTTCCTCAGGTGATGCTCATGAACACAAAACAGCCAATCATGCTGCTTCATCCAAACTAAAATGAGCCAATTAGCTGTTAGGATGCACGCTGTTTCCTAGAGCACCCAGATGTTAGAATGCACAGGCTTCATTAGGTCAGATACTTAAATTTATTTTTTGATCTGCATTATTAATAAATTTGTATTTACATCTTTGCATTCTTTAAAAAAGTAAATACATTTTTCAAATTTTCTCAGCATTTTAATTTAATCAGCTTTATTATGTAAAAAAAAAAAAATTTCTTAAATTTTTTTTTCAATTAATTTTTTAACATAAATTTGATTGTTTTTCATTTATTTTCAATTATTTGATGTTTTTTGGTAACATCATTAACATTTTTACCTAGAAAATTGTAATTGATTATATTTATTTTTTTTACTGTTTTTGCATTTATTATTGTGTATTTTTGTGATTTTTCATCTTTTATTTTTACAGTTACATATCATTTTTCTTTGATTTTTTTTTCTTTTTTTCATTTATATTTTTTAAATCTGATTTGTAAAATGTTTACCTGAATTTCTACAATTATGCTTGTTTTTACAGATTTTTTTTGGGGGGCATTTTTCATTTTATTATGTTTTTTGCATTTTAATTCAGTTAAATTATTAATTATTAATTTTATTTTCGGCTTAGTCTGTTTATTAATCTGGGGTTGCCACAGCGGAATAAACACCCAACGAATCCAGCATATGTTTTACGCAGCAGATGCCCTTCCAGCTGCAACCCATCCCTGAGAAACCTACAAACACACCCATTTACACACACTCATACACTATGAACAATTGACCCTTCACCAAGCCCCGCCCTCCTTAGTTACTGTTGCTACGCCTGTCAATCTTTCGTGCCTGGTACCTCTATTACAATGTGTATGCACCAGTGTCAGACATTCCCAGGGATATTATTAGTGAAATATCCGAGAAAGCCATACAAAAAAGAACTGCAGTACGCATTACAGGGGTATATTCACCACATAATAGGCAACTGATTAGAAAGTAATTTAATCAAAATTAAAGCTGGGTTAGCCTAGCCGCCTCATACTCTTAACCATTCAACATTCATGCACAGCAGGAGAGGTGACATTTAAAAATAATCTAATATTAACAAGTTAAACTGTGATTTCTCTTCTTTTTAGCCCAAAAGCCTGATAGACTATTGTTGTGCAATGAAATATAGCGTTGCTAGCCTACGAATAAACATCCATGGACAGTGCTTCTACATAATTCATTAATAGAAATAACAGCCAGAAAGGAGAAATTGATGTATTGGTACCGAATATTAGCATCATTGACACATAACAATGTACAGTACCTATATCTATCAGTATGTTTGTTTGCTCTTTAACTAATAGTTTCTATTCTAATTTGCTGTTAAGTGGAAAAAATAAATAAATAAATTGAAATGCAAATCAAAGTATAAATAGAAGAAGTGAACAAATAAATTTTCCCTACCAGCAAATATTAATCAGACACCAAATATAAAAGCAGACAATAACCTGGTATAACGCCATCACCAATCTCCAAAAAAACAGAGGAAAACATCAGTGAACTGTAGCTCTGACATGGACATGAGGGATATAAATGACTGAAAAACAGCTGCGGGTGAAGTATATTAATCACAAGTGCTCGGTTTGTGATCACATCTCTGTTTTGTTCTATTAATATGTCATTTCAAATATTCATAGCTTGAAACAGATGGAAATATGACGGCTATTAGTATGACTACTATTGCGAGGGCTTAAACAGAGGAGTGCTCATAATATCGAGTGAAAAAAGAAAAAGACATCTGTGAAACATGACCTGCTTTGTATTTTTGTAGGAAACACAGTTTAGATCTTTTTAGGGTAAGAGGTGTGTGACTTATTGCCGTCTATCACTGAATGTGTCAGGAACATTGCAACAAAACCAACTTAACTCCACTCTTTTAGCGCCCCTCACACAGCTTGATCCACGCTGGCATTTCTTCCCTTGGCCTTTAGGTTTTGGAAAGGGAAAAACATTCCATCACCCCATCCAAACTTTAAGAATACCGGGTGTCAGATTAGCATAATCCATAATCCATATAACACTTTGGCGTGTTTTCCTCGCTCAAAAGCATGACAGACCTCCTGCGTTTAGCTACGGTTGCTAAGCCACGATTGGTGGGTGGCGTTTTTTTGGGTGTGGCTTAACGAAGGGTCATTTTAGCTAACCCAATTCCCCATAAAGCGCATGTGCTTGGACTGTGGGAGAAACCGGAGCACTAGAAGAAAACCCACACTGACCACACACACCACACAGAAATGCCAACTGACCCAGCCGAGGCTCGAACCAGCGACCTTCTTGCTGTGAGGCGATCATGCTCATCGCCATCGTGACGCCCCAGTTAAATTATTGTAAAAAATAAATAAATACACACACTTTGTAGCTTTACATTTTCATTTATTTACACTGTTCAATTGTGTTTTATTATTATAATGCTGAATTTTCACCTGGTGTGTGTGTGTGCGCGCGTGTGTGTGTTACAGCGATGAAGACACTGATGTTGGCTCTCTGGTGAAGTCGTGGCTGAAGCGTGAGGATGAAGACTGCAGGATGAATCTGGAGAACTGGCTCAATGATTATTTCCACAGAGCTCTGGAGTGGGTTCTCAAACAGGTGCATTCCTAAAGTCCATATGAACCGGAAGTTGCTGAGACTTTTATTTCAGTTTGATGATGGACTTTTATCTGAATCGGAATATTGAGTAGGGGGCGGGGCTCTCTATTGCGCATCATTCCCTAGTACTCAACTAAGACCCCGTTTACACTGCCAGTTAAATGTGACCCAGTTCCGATTTTTTGCTCATAAGTGACACAGATCGGATCTGTTCTATGAGAGTGTAAACACGGAAAAAACGCAAGCGTTCGGATATTCAGAGATGGGTTTGAGGCCTCCTTCATATGTGGAAATAAATCAGATATAGATCGGATATGTGACAATGCGACTGTCATGTGAACGGGCAGATCAGATGTATTGAGGCATTTCGTTCTGTACATCATTAAACTTGCGACAATGTGCTGCTTCTCCGCGGTTTAATGACAGAAAGAAGAGCGGGTGTGGAGATGCCAACGCGGTAAACAACATCAGAGGAAACACAGAGGAGGAAAGTGGTCAGTCGCCACAATTTGCTCCCACCAGACCTGAGATCTCTCTCGTACCCACAAACTCCTCAGAATGGTGGAGGACGTCATTAAAGCATATAAACCATAAGCGCAAGCTGTGATGACGGCCCTTTCCCACCTCCGCCTCTAAATCCTTTTAAAGTTGGGCGAACTTCCTGTTGAAACTTTTGCTTTTTGTCGCTATTAAAACACGCACTGCAGGCTACACACAGAATATTCTCTCCAACACTAGTGCGCACGCAGGCAAAGGCTACATCTTCAACTATACACACACACACGCATCAGGGCCATACCATTACATAAACTGCATGGGGGTAAATCTGGACTAAACCATTCACTGCTTGTACTACACTTTGCATATTTCGCAGAGCTAAAAACAAGACAATTTCTTCCATCGTGGCAAGTGTGGCAAAGATGCTAGAACCCGCCTTTATGCATGCATGACATCGTAAATTGTATGGCAAGTGTAAACGCATCAATTCGATATGGCTCACAATTAAAACACCGTGTAAACAGACAGACAAACAAATCAGACATAGGTAGCAAATCGGAATTGGGCATCAAGATCTGACAGTGTAAACGGGGCCTAACAGTTAGATGGTCGTGGTTAAGTATATTAATATACTGTTGCTATGGAAACCCTCAAGTTGGCATTGACAGGACTGCAGATGCTCAGACTTTGATTGAAGATTATCTTGCATGCATAGATTGAACTTGCACAGATTAATAATCAGTTTAGGAATAACAATGTGAGCAAGCAAAAAAAAAAAACAGTAAATTTGGATTTCATGCAGACTTTAAATTAATTAAATGATTCATGTTCTGTAATTTACTCTAAGTATTTAGTCTTGATTTACCTTGATTTATCAGTTTTCTATTGGTTGATTTGGTGGCGTCAGGCTTTACAGCTGAAGGAAGTGTATCTCTCTAGCTGCGTCCCAAATGGCACACTATACACTATGCACTCATGCACTATGTACTTATGCACTTACACACTCAACAGGATAGTATATGTATGTAGTGTCGTCCCAAATGGCACACTAATGTTTTTTTACTAAACAGAAATTCAAACCGTTTCCCTGATGACGTTTGACGGTTGCCAAATCAGTGAAATAAACGACCGAATTATCAAATAATACCTATCGTGAGTATTGCCGCATTCACCATCGGGAGGCGATATAATCACTCTAGTAGGAGAATTTTGCTTTCTCCATCCAAAATAAATAAAGTTAACCAACATGTGCGTCCGATAGCTCCGCCCCTTCCGCTACGTAAGCAAACCTGCGGTCGTTGAGTGCGTGAAGTGTCCATCATTACACACTTCATTTTAGCTGCTGAATGAGTGCATCATCCGGGTAATTAAAGTGCACTTATTATTTTATTTTAAGAGTTTTCAGTGTGAACACACTACTTACACTATTTATACTACAAAATGGTGTAGAATAGTGCATAAGTATGCGATTTGGGACGCAGCTTCTGTCTCTCGCTTGTTCATCTTTGTACTTTATTTTTGACTTCAGCTTATTATCGGGAGTCGCAATGTGTTAGGTTTGTTTGGTTATTTATTCAATATGTTGTTGGGTTTTCCATCTCTAACGTTAATCGGATTGTTTTGCTGATTAGTGTAAAATAATACATAATTCAGTGGGTGATTGTTTATTTGTGTTATGTTTTCTTCAAATCATGATTCTGTTTTTAAGTAGGGACTTTACCAATACACATTATATATGCATGCTATAAAAGAAAAAACAGCTTGTCCAAAAGAAGTTTTGTTTCTTCTCCGCCCCTATAAACCCCTCTGTCTCTCCCCCCAGAGTGATTTTGTGGTGGACACCAGTCTGGTCGGGACGGTGCTGAACGGTCTGTCTCATCTGAGTGGTGTCAGGGAGAGAGGAGAGTTCATCATGGGCCTCATCCGCGGTTTAGGAGGAAACCTCACACTTAAATGCCGACAGGACTTCGCCAAGGAGGTCAGAGCCGCATGGGATTATGGGAAACATCATTTTGTGCCTTCTCACTCATAAGATTAAGGATCGGCTCCTTTTAGATTAACATTGAGGAGTTATCATAATAATTTAAAAGTGACGTTTTTTTTAAAGTAGCAGCAGTGAAAGTTTGATGTCTCTCCAGATTTCTTACAGCATAAAAATCATTGTTCAGTTTTCTTATTTTTCATAATTAGTTTTACATGAATAAATCAATGAGTGTTAGTTTTTACATTTATATAAAGAAATGCATACTCTTTTCCCATACATTTTTCCTGTGGATGTTTTTTTTGTACATTTGACACTCTTACTATAATAATTTAAGATAATAAGATAATAATTTCTATAATAATTTGAATTCTATTTGAATTTTTTGTACTTTTAATATTCTTCTATTGACCTTATTCTAAAATGTGGAAGTGCGCTCGTTTTCATGATTGTTTTAGAACTTCCGGTTCTATCGCCCATGGGAGAAATGACTAGGAATAATAAACGGCAGGAAAGGGTCGAACTACTTGCTCTACAAACAAATGTTTGCATGACTATACAGACCAAGTAGAGTCATATAATAAGAAAAGATCAGTTTGGAACATCAAGCAGCAAAACAAGCAGTTTTTAATGTCTAAAAGTGAATGGAAGTGAATGAGACAGGAAGTCTCGAGGCAAAAAGATTCAAATGGCTGCGCCCGCTCGTCGGCAAAGAATAAGGTGAAAAAAGATGTTGATGATGATTTTCTTTATTGAAATACAATTTTAGTATTTAATTAGATTATTTTTTTTATTTACGTAAATGCACAAAAATGTTTCCATTGTTTTTATTATTTTTGCAATTGAGTTTTAGCATTATTTTAATGTATTTAACAATTGTAAATTTATTAACCTTTTATTAATTAAATTAATGACTTTTTAACATTTTGAACAGTTTAATTATTGATTATTTTCAGATTGATTTTTTAATTTTATTATTAATAAACATTTTTTACATTTACACTTTGCAACAGTTTCAATAATTTGAATTCCTTTTTATTTCTTCAATAGTTTAATTACTTTTTCTTCTTTTCTATGAAGCTGTTGAGGATGAAAACTATCTTTTCCTTATCAAAATACATTTTTGGTATTTAATTAATTAGATATTTTTAAAGATGCATAAATGCACATCTATGTTTTTAAAGATTCTTCATTATTATGATTTTTTTACAAAGCATTTTTAGCATTAATTAAGTTGATTTCACAATTATTAGTTTATTAACCTTTTTATAAACTAAACTAAATTACTTTTTAGCTTTAGTTTTGTTATTGATTTTGATTTTACATTTACTCTTTTTGGCGGCTCAGTGGTTAGCAATGTGGTCTCTGCCACTGGTTCGAGTCGGGGCTGGGACAGTTGGTATTTCTGTGTGGAGTTTGCATGTTCTCCCTATGTTGGTGTTGGTTTCCTCTGGGTGCTCCAGTTTTCCCAACAGTCCAAACACAAATAGTTGGCAATTCATTCTGCTGTGGAATCCCCTGATGAATTAAAGGACCAAGCTGAAGAAAAATAAATAAATGAATAAGTTCTTTTTTTTTACTAATTTATTTGCCTTTTTTTGCTCTTTTTTTAAGCTGTTGAGCATGAAAATTGTATTTTATCAAAATATTTTTTGTATTTAATTAATTACATTTTTTAAAAACATACATAAATGCACGACTATGTTTTTAAAGATTCTTTATTTTTTTGCAATGCAGTTTTAGAATTAATTTAATAAATATATATTTTTACATTTATTATTAATTATTATATATATTTTTAATTGATTTTTCTTAATTAAAATAAAGTACATTTTAGCTTTATAATTAAGTTTGATTATTATTTTTTAACAGATTATTTTATTTTATTTCCTTTTTGCATTCACACTTGTCATCTTAAATCAGATTAGCATTTTAATACTGTTAAAAACCATAAACAATTAGTCAATAACCAGAAATTAAATTGAATTAAATTAAAATGCGCTCATGTTTATCAGGTCATGCCATCTTCACGTTTGTTTTTTATTTATCAGGACTGCAGTAATGTGCTCATGGTGTTGTGAATGTATGTCCAGGTTCTGAGCTGGGCAAGAGAAAGCCCTCCTGACCCTCGTAAGCCTCTGGACACATACTATGACCAGGCGTCAGGCCGCCTGTGTGTGTATGAGCTGCAGAGAGGAGAGGGTGTGTGTGAGGAGGAGCTGAGCGACCCTCACAATCTGCCAGTCATTCACACACCGGACACACAGCGCAGCCTCCACAGCTTCAGCCCGTGGCTCTCGGCCAATCACAGACAGCCATTCCTGCTGGTGGGACCTGAGGGATGTGGGAAAGGGTAACACACATACTCAGATCTCATATATATATATATATATATATACATACAGTTGAAGTCAGAATTATTAGCCGTTCTGTGTAAATATTTCCCTAAATATTATATTTAGTAGTAAACATTCAAACTCTGCATGCACAGATTAATATGTGTGTGTGTTTGTGTGTGTCAGGATGCTCCTGCGCTGTGCGTTCTCTCAGCTTCGCTCCACTCAGGTGTCTGTGGTTCACTGCAGCGCTCAGACCTCCTCCCGTCACGTCCTGCAGAAGCTCCAGCACACGTGTCTGCTCATCAGCTCCAACACGGGCCGCGTCTACCGGCCTAAAGACTGCGAGAGGCTGCTGCTCTACCTCAAAGACATCAACCTGCCCAAACCTGACAAATGGGGCACCAGCAACCTCATCGCCTTCCTGCAGCAGGTCATATCATGATCATTCGACATTTCTATCAGACGCTTTTATCCAAACCACTTACAAATGCGGATAAAAAAGCACTTTAAATCAGCAGCAATATACAGACTCAATTGGTTTAAAAGTGTGTATATGTATTAGTGCTGTTACAGGGCTCGAAATTAACCTTTTTGCTTGGTAGCACCGGTGCTCCTAACTTTACAAATTTAGGCGCATCAGCCAAAATTTAGTCGCACCCACCAATTATAAGCACCGTTACTACAAGTTTTATACAAACATATTTATTGCATTTGAAATCAACACTAATCAAACTAAGAAGCAAAAAAAAAAAATATATATATATATGCAAGCGTAAGGAAAATATGTCTCAACGACATCCCATTATTACAAGAAAATAGATTTTAATAACATAACTGAGTGACCAAAAGATACACGGAGCGCTCACCGGCCCTGCACGCACTGCTGGACATGGATGAATCTGTTAACGGTATAACTGTGCTGTTCTCACGGGTGCTGTCTGATATTGCACTGATGCTTTTGACATATACTGCACCTTATTATATACATACTTCGATAGCAATACCGCAGCGAAATTAGTTTATTCAGTTTAAGCCTGTTTGCGATGGTGTATGTGGTGTTAAATTTTACATATAGCTGCCACTTGCACGGCTAACAGCAGCTGGAGATTATATGAAGGATTAAACAGAAGCTCTCTTGCTAGATGTGGCAAACAGTTACCTGAAAACTCCATCTCACAGACTTTTCATAGCAGACTTGAAGCCAACGGAAGTCTTTTATCCGCTCTTGGAAAAGTGTAGATGGTGGATTAACATTCAGCACATGGTCACTAGTAAGATGTGTCACTATTTATAACTGTAGATGGTTTCTAAAACTAAATCTGTCAGTGGAATCTTCATTCTCATCTTCAGCGCTTTACAGTTTTTCGCAGTAGTAGCTCTCTCTGTCATCCCAAGCCAGAAGGCATTGACTGAGTGATTGACAGCTGATATTTCAGTGCTAGAGCAGTGGTGGGCCAATAAGAAGAGTGCAAAGGCGTGGCAAGCATTACGGACTTGGCTTTGTTTACTGCAGCAAGTTGACATGACAACTGTTTTAAACCATTCCTAAACACTGCGTTTCACGTTTCAAGTGCAGAGATGCATTCTGCGTGAATGTCTCCCGAATACGCACATGTGGTGAACATTTGGCAGTAAAAAGTGGTCGCACACAACAATTTTATACACTCGCAAAAATGCTCCCAAATATATTTTGAGGTCGCATAGATAAAATTTTGGGCTCATATGCAAACAAAATGGTCACAATTTCGAGCCCTGTGTTAAATGATTAATCGCATCCAACTACAGTAAGCTTCTATTTACATATTATAAATATGTGTGCTGTGTATAGTTATGTACATACAGCCGGGAAAAAAAGTGTTAAACACGTCACCATTTTACTCAGAATACATATTTTTAAAGGTGTCCTCTGACTTGAAATTTTCACCAGATGTTGGTAACAACCAAAGAAATCCATAAATGCAAAAATAAACTAATCTAATTAGCTTACAAATTACTTTATGTGTAATAAATGAAATGACGTAGGGAAAAAGTATTGAACACATGAAGAAAGGGAGGTGTAGAAAGGCAGTGAAAGCCCAGACAGCAGCTGAAAGTTTAAATAAATATCAGCTACTTCAGTCCAACATCAACATTGGCAGGAGGATGAAGATGAAACCTGGGTGGACATTTCAGCAAGACAAATAATCCAAAACACAGCCAAGGAGACTCGAGACTTTTTTCAGAGAAAAAAAAACAAGCTGTAGAATGGCCCAGCCAATCACCTGAAGCGAATCCAATAGAGAATACAAAATAAAGCTCAGATTTGATAGACGAGACCCACAGAACCATCAGGATTTTGACACTGTTGAAGTCTGTGAAAAACAATACAGCAATACATGTGACTTTATTCTTTATATGAGAAGTGTCTTTAAACTGCCATCACCAATGTATACAAGTGCTAATAAGAATGTGTCTGGGGCTTATGAAGAGGATATATAACACCATACATTTGTTTTTAGTGCAAATCTAGTGCAAAGGTCTGTTGTTTTAGCTTCTCACATTGTTTCCTCAGGTGTTGACGTATCAGGGCTTCTATGATGAGAATCTGGAGTGGGTCGGGCTGGAGAATATTCAGATTGTGGCCTCCATGTCAGCAGGTGGAGCGGTGGGACGACACACACTCACGTCACGATTCACCTCTATTGTTCGCATCTGCACTATTGAGTGAGTGATGAAGCATATTTGCTTAGCTAAGGTTAAAGAATACAAATATTATTTCGTCACCTTGGAATTATAAGGTTCTATCTGTGTTCTGAATGATTTTGAGATAATGAGCTTTAAGTTTTTGCTTTCCATATAGCAAACATTACGTGTGTAACATTTGTTTTTACAGAGCCCATATTATACATGAAATAGGGTCATATCTTGGTTGTAAGGGTCTCCAACAACAGTCTAATATGCATGCAAGGTCAAAAAACACTTTCATGGTCTTATAATCTGCATTTATTTTTACCTAATTATCCCAGCGACTCCCGTATGAATCGTCCAGTGATTCATTTGTTCCCAAACCCCTCCTTAGCACGAAGCTAATCTGCGCTGATTGGACCGATGACAGCCTGTTGCGATTGGTTGTCTGCCTTCAGTCAGAGAGTGAAATGCCAAACAGCTAATCAGCAATATAAAAGTAATCACAGTTCATGCACGCTCGATAGTGTAGGCGTGGATTTTAGCTGCCAGTGGGTCAATGTAAATACAGATGATGGACTTGATAATACAGACGATTAACTATTTTATTGAGCAAAAACTCCAAAAACAGTTGAGGAGATCTCCTAGCTTACTCTGCTATTTTCGCAGACACACACACACATATTGCACACACACACACACACACACACACACACACACACTTAACCCTGCTCCGGACGACAACGCGCGCGCACACACACACACACAAACACACACACCTCCAGATGACAGCGTGTGTACACGCACACACACATGCACACACAGACACACACACTACTCCTCCTCCACGGAGCTCCGTAAACAAAGCAGCACGCGTCGCGTTTTAAACGTGTTTTTAAACGTCACATTTTAAAAATGTGTGTGTGTTTGTGTGTGTTTGTGTGTGTGTGTTTGTGTGTGTGTGTGTCTGGGTTTCTATGTCAGAGGGCGGGGCTGCAGGTTTGAAATCTCCCGGGTTTGCGCGTGCACGTGAATAATTTGGTTTCATTAGTACGTCATGGCGAAACACCTAATGACTCGTTATCAAGGCGACTCATTTGAAGCACTATGAGTCGACTCTTTTATAGATGAATCAACCGTTTTAAACACTGTACTCTTACAGATTTAAGCCTTAGCTGGATACTTCACTTCACTTAGAGCTGTGTTACACACTACATGGAGGGGAATTTTCAAAAACCCAAAATATGGGCTCTTTAAATAAAAAGTCTTAAAATGTAAACAACTTATAAAAAAACATCCCATAATGTAAATAAGTTGTCATTTAATAGGAATAAGTCAATAACTCAATTTTGACAAAAATGTCAGATAGAACCTTATAATTCTATGGTGACGATTTTTAATAATACAAATATTTAATATTATTTTTCTCACAATTATTATTTTGCATCTCACAAATGTTCATTCTTTTATGCAGTTTTTATTTTTTTTCCTCTGAAGTTTTTCTTAGAATTCAGAATTTTCCCTTTCTGGCACTTTCTCTCACATTTTTTAAACTTATTTTCCTCTGAAATCAGATTTTTCATTTCACTATGTGTATTTTTTTTCTCAGACTTTTGAGTTTGCAGTTATTTTTTTCCTGAATACATCAGTATACATCAAATTATGGCTGCAGAATATATGGTTTCATCATCGATATTGCAATATGATCATTCGCAATAGTCACATCTCCTGCATATGCAATATTGAGTCTGGATTATTATTATATATAATACACTCACCGGACACTTTATTAGGCACAACTGCTTGTTAACGTGAATTTCTAATCAGCCAATCACACGGCAGTAATTCAATGCATTTAGGCATGTAGACATGGTCAAGATGATCTGCTGCAGTTCAAACTGCAAACTGAGCATCAGAATGAGGAAGAAAGGGGATTTAAGTGACTTTGAACATGGCATGGTTGTTGGTCTGAGTATTTTAGAAACTGCTGATCTACTGGGATTTTCATGCACAGGTTTCAGCTGACAGAAAGGCGACAGTAACTCAAATAAGCACTCGTTACAACCGAGCTCTGCAGAAGAGCATCTCTAAACACACAACACATCCAAGGTGATTGAGGCAAATGGGCTACAGCAGCAGAAGACCACACCAGGAGCCACTCCTGTCAGCTAGGAACAGGAAACTGAGGCTACAATTCACACAGACTCACCAAAACTGGACAATAGACGATTGGAGAAACGTTGCCTGCTCTGATGAGTCTCCATTTCTGCTGCCACATTCGGATGGTCGGCTCAGAATTCGGCATCAACAACAAGAAAGCATGGATTCATCCTGCCTTGTTTGGTGTAATATTGTGGGGGATATTTTCTTGTCACACTTTGGATCCATTAGTACTAATTGAGCATCATGTCGACGCCACAGCCTACCTGAGTATTGTTGCTGACCATGTCCATCCCTTTATGACCACAGTGTACTCATCTTCTGATGGCTACTTCCAGCAGGATAACACACCATGTCATAAAGCTCAATCATCTCAGACTGGTTTCTTGAACATGACAATGAGTTCACTGTACTTAAATGGCCTCCGCAGTCACCAGATTTCAATCCAATAGAGCACCTTTGGGATGTGGTGGAACGGGAGATTTGCATTATGGATGTGCAGCTGGCAAATCTGCAGCAACTGCGTGATGCAAGCATGACAATATGAAGGGGGTCCAACCCTGTTCTAGTAAGGTGTGCTTAATAAAGTGGCCGGTCAGTGTACACCTACTGTACACCTGAATAAAGCTTGGAAAACAATCAAGTGCTGTTTACTTAATTACTATCTTTTCTATTAGAATTTAGTATTGTGTTCTTTATTGATATTGTCTATGCTTTTAGGTTGTTTCTTATATTTTATGCATATGCACTCCCATACAGAATCACCCCAATCAATCTAAAATGCTAAATTCTTTCCAAATAGTTATTCAGCACTTCTAGTGAACTTGTTTTCATATTGCAATATACAGTTGAAGTCAGAATTATTTGCCCCCCTGTTTATTTTTCCCCCCAATTTCGGTTTAATTGAGAGCAGATGTGTTCAACACATTTCTTAACATACTAGTTTTAATAACTCATCTCTAATAACTGATTTATTTTATCAAGATGACAGTAAATTATAATTGACTAGATATTCTTCAAGACACTTCTATACAGCTGAAAGTGACATTTAAAGGCTTAACTAGGTTAATTAGGGTAACTAGGCAGGTTAGGGTAATTAGGCAAGTTATTGTTATTGTTGTTTGTTCTGTAGACTATGGGAAAAAAAAAATTGCCTCAAGGGGCTAATAATTTTGACCTTAAAATGATTCATAAAAATTAAAAACTGCCTTTATTCTAGCCGAAATAAAACATATAAGACTTTCTCCAGAAGAAAAAATATTATCAGACATACTGTGAAAATTTCCTTGTTTCGTTAAAGATCATTTGGGAAATATAAATAAAAAAAAAATCAAAGGGAGGCTAATAATAATTCTGACCTCAACTGTATATCACAGAATAAAAAAATATCGCAATTAGAGCTGCACGATTCTGGCTAAAATGAGAATCGCAATTTTAAAATAAAAGATCACGATTCTCTCATGATTCTTTCACGATTCTGTAGATGTAAAATAAAGCTTAATATGAGGTTATTGTTCTTTCTCAAACATATGGTAAAACAACAATAATAATATTATGTGTCGGTCTACTGGTTTCTATAAATAATTCTATTCTTCTTATAATAATTCTGATGTTGAATTATATTTGAGATATATGCTTGCAATCTGTCATTGACAACATTATTATACAATTTAACTCACTAGTAATATCAACATTATACAGGCTAGAGTAGTTTTACTGACACTGTAAACATTTATTTTCATGCACAACTGTGTGTTCGCTATGAAAGAAACAACATATCAAAGGCTTCTCGCAATCATAACTCTAAAATGCGATATGATTATTTAAATGATGTGCTCGCTTTTGGTTTCATTTTCACTGCTGAGTGCTGTTCATGGTTCGCGCGCGGCTCTCAAACGATAACTCTGTGCCACAAACTGAATATTATTTACAACTTTATAACCTGTTACTTACAGCAGGTTCTGTTCACTAAAGGAGACGTGCGCGTGTCTATCATTAAGTCAGCAGTTCATGTCACGTGTGATTTCCCGGCCGCCAATACATTATATGAAGACAAAAATGACATTTTTAGGTGAATTATACCTTATAAATACAATATGTGACTCTTTCAACATCATTTGGAGGTGTCCATGTTGCTGAGCAATGTGTGTGAAACAATGAAAAGACTCGTGCAGCCGCCTTTGCTTCTGTCCTGAACTTGAAAATATGATTGACAGAATCATAGAAATGCTGGATTAAGATCATCTAGGGGTTCGAATCGAGATTGCGATTATTAATTTATTTTTTAAATTAATTTTGCAGCTGTAACCGCCATGTTTGATTTTTCCAATATTGTGCAGCCCTAACATCAATATAAAGCTTATTTATTCATCTTTCACATGATGTACAAATCTTAATTAATAAAACCGTATAAAAGAAAGTGTCTGGTGCATACAGAGAGGAAAATAGTCTGTCTCTTACAGGACACACACACTCACACACACATACTTATCTATATCTCTGCATTAGTTATCCAGACAGAGAGCAGCTGCAGACAGTCTATAGTGCGTACCTGAAACCTGTGCTGCAGAGGACTCTGGGTAATGATCCCACATGGAGCTCTTCAGGGAAGATCCACCAGCTTGCCGGCTCATTGGTGCAGGTCTACGAGCAGGTCAGATCTGATTGGATAATTCAAAGTATTGATGTCATTATGTCTGCTTTATACATTTATTCAGTATTATTTAAACGTTTATAAGAACATATCTTATTTGGTCATGTCTCTTTGGTTCCCAATTAAATCATTCAGTTTCTTCTCATCTACATTTCTCCAATATGAAGACATATTATAGGATTGTTGTCTTACGGAAAGGGTCAGTACTTCTATATCATACACCTCTTTTACAATATCATTATGGCTTGTTTCCTCTGAGTGGTATGGTACGGTATGCGTCACCTTTATCAGGCTTGCGTTTCCACTGCCAAAAGGGTACCAATGGTGGGCGCAGTGTACAACAAAGTTTCAGTCAATGTAAATCTAGCTTGAGGAAATGTCAAAGTAAAGCTGTACGGGTCATTCATATATCATATAAGAAGCACCTCTCACAAAACAGAGTGATAACAGCACTCGTGCAGCCTCTTTACCCTTCTGTATTACTCCGCCCACAAGCAGAGGATTAAACTCACTACAGTTTGACAAATATTGCAGCTGTTAGGCAACATAATGTACTTCTGAGGCTTTTTCAGGTGAGAATGTAGATGTTTAGATAGCAACTATGCAGTTTATTTATAAGGATAGTGCCTATTTTTTTAAAAATATTTATAATTTTGGCGGCCATTAGCCTGTCGTACTGAGCAGAGCAAAAAAAAAATTGACTGTTGACCGCCACAAGATGGCGGCAGAGAACGCTTAGTAAGTCCTTGGGGGACAAAATATCAGCGCAATTTCAAACTACAGCTGATCAAGTCATTATAAATCAGGTAAGTGACATTCTAAGTCGATCTCTCTCTTTTGTATGCTGTTGTACTGTATTTATACCATAGTATGTTAGTGGTTTACCATAGTCTGGTAGTGGTTTTGGCTTTTTCGGGGTTATTTCATTGGGGGGTCATATCGGGCATTTCATGCCGTTCAGCCTTATAATCTTAAAATATAAGCAAAATCACCTGTTTTGTCATAATTTTAGACATTATGCTAGAGAATCATTCAAACACAGCTCTAAAGTGATGTTGGTGAAGTAGCAGGGCTTAATTTGTGCCGAAACAAGTCTGAAATTTGAAATTACCTCCGAAATCTGATCCCGCACCTCATTTGACTGATCTTCCTCCTCACACGTACCACTCAACAACCCCACGCCCCCCTACTCTTCACTTTCGTCCGTGACACCCACGCCCCCCCACTACACCCCCACCGAAAGTGTAAACTTTCGTCAACACCTCTCCCTCCTCTTGGAACATGCAGGATCCACTATACCGATCTGTTCAGGGACCTCACAATTTACAAATTCAGCACTGTGAATTAGCAACATTCTCTGCTGTTCTGACGTCAGCTGTAGATGTGAATGAATGAAAGTAGTTTCTCATACAAAAGAGTTTTTGAGACTTTCCGTGTTTGATTTAATTTTTTGTATACACGATTATGCCGTCGAACTGTTGTATAAACGCAATATCACACGAGTAGCAGTGCGATATGGCTGTATATCAGCACTGCTGGTGCACTAAGGCACTCGGCCTGCAGCCTCAAACCAATGTACACCTCCACCAGTGTCGATATACAGCCATATCGCACTGCTACTCATGTGATATTGCTCATATATATAATTTCAAAATATATTTTTGAAGAAGTTCCCAAAGTATTTTTCATTTTAATGTTAGATTCAGCCCTATTATTTACTTCTTTATTCTGATCTTGTATGAAGTTATGTGTGTTTGTGTTTCAGGTGAAGGCTAAATTCTCAGTGGATGATCACAGTCATTATCTGTTCACTCCATGTTTACTCACAGAGTGGGTCCTGAATCTGCTGCGGTACGACCTGAGCGCAGGTGAGCTCAACACACTCAATAATTCACTAACATCTCCTAAAACTCTATATATGTCTTTATATATTGACCAAATACCGATCCAGAACATTCTACAGTATAAGGCATCACATGTTTTTAGAGCTGTTAGCAGCTAGTGTGTTAACTTGTTACTTGTTATACAGCAATTACTTTAAAAGGTGTGTGTTTGTGTGTGTGTGTGTGTGTGTGTGTGTGTGTGTTTGTGTGTGTGTGTGTGTGTGTGTGTGTGTGTGTGTGTGTGTGTGTGTGTGTGTGTGTGTGTGTGTGTGTGTG